GGGAGCCCGATGCGGGGCTCGATCCCAGGACCCCGGGATCATGACCTGAGCCGAAGGCAGACGCTTAACCGACTGAGCCACCCAGGCACCCCATACGAACCTTTTGGAGTAAGACCGCATTTGCACACAGGTACACAGTCAGGGACCATGTTAGGCGACTACTGGCAAGACCTGGGATGGGCTCGCCCCTCTGCCTCTGGAATTATTTTTAATTGGTTGCTACTGTTTCATGCTAACCAGACACACAGGATTTCTGCAGATGCTTAACACTCCAAATTCTGACATCTCAGGGAAACAAAAACTTTGCTGAGTCTGCTTATTGCTGTATCCGGGGAATGCAAGGTAGACTTGACTGCATTAGAAATTCTTTCAGTAAATGCTTTTCTCTTACCTGGTAAGAACAGCTCGTGGTCCCCGGGCCCGGGCGTGCATCTTATCCAGTACCATGTGCTTCAGTTTCTGATAGTACACCGGGCCAAAATAGATGTATGCTTCCAAGGGTTCACTGAAAGAAAGGTCAGAATTTTGGGCTAAGAAAGCAGGTTTGGGCTAATAAGAGCCAGCCTTCTCCAAGACCCCTCACTGGCAGGGCCTTGTTTGTTTCAGAACAGGCTTACGAATGAGTGAGAGAGGAGGATTTTCAGTCTGCACTGAATGAAAAGGCTAGATTTGAAAAGAGAAAAACACCATGGATACATTAGAAGACACACTGTTTACTTAAGATATACAAACTTAAACAGGCGGTGAGAACATATGTACAGGACGGTCCCTCCTTCACTGCTCCCGCCCTAGTTGAGCCACCACCCTTTTTCGCCTGGACCCCTGCAGACGCTCGTCTGGCGTCTCTCCCTGCTTCCGCTGCCAACCCTCAACAGTCTGTCACAGGACAAACCAGAGCAATTCCTTCTAAAATGTAAATCACAGCAGGTTATTCTTCTGCTCTAAATTCCCAATGGTTTCCTACCACACTCAGAATCTGTGACACCCAAATTTTGTATCACGGCCATAAGGTCTCACAGAATCTGGTTCTAGCCCACCTCCAACTCACGTCCTGTTCCCTTTCCCCATTGCTCATTCTACTCCAGTAACACCAGCCTCTTCATTGCTCCTCAAATGTAGCAAGTCTGTCTGCCTCAGGGCCTTTGCACTGCCTGGTTCTAAAACATTCTTCCACCAGGTATTCACACAGCTGTCAAACATTTCACCTCCTCAGAGGCCTCCCTCTCCCTCATGACCTTATCACCTCCTCAGGGGCCTCCCTCTCCCTCATGACCTTATCGCCTCCTCAGGGGCGGCCTCCCTCTCCCTCATGACCTTATCTGGAGGAGTCCTCCTCTGACCCCACCATCACCAAGCCCCCACACTGTCTCAATTCTTACCTGGGCTTTATTTTCTTCAGAGCACTTGCCACCACTTGATATTATCATACACATTTATTATTTCCCTGATTGTCGCCCGTCTTCCCCACTTCCCCGAGACTCCTCGGGGTAAGCGCTCTGTCTCTTCTGTCACTGCGGCTCCAGCACCAGTGACCCTGCCTGGCACAGGACTGGCGCTCCGTAAATGTCTGTTAAAACAGAGCTGACTCAACGAACCCTTAGAACGACTGCAGTAAGAGCGGTGGAAGGCAGTGAGTACTCCAGTGCTCTGACAGAAGAAACCCTTCTCCTTTAGTTCGGGGCAAGAGCAGGCAGGGGCTGACGCCTCTAAAAAATTTTACCTGCCCCAGAACTTCCTCAACAGTAAGGAGGAACCCACCATGTGCCACTTAATCCGTACGCCATCCAGGGAGGAGACACTGTCCTGCCTATTTTTTTAAGAGGCAGGAATAGGCACAGTGGGGCCGAGAGGCTAATCGGAGCTGGTGAGCCGTGCAGGGGTCCAGCGCCCTCCCTGCCGCGCTGGCCTGGCTCACACGCACTGAGTTTGGGCCCCAGCACAAAGCGGGAGTGGAAGGACACGGCAGAGGCACATGGAAGCACTCGGCCCCTGCTTACCTGCCGTCCCTTCTACCACACTCAGCACCGCCCACACAGGCGTCCGTGGCCCTCAAGCCACCGAGCCGGCTTACGGACAGCCAGCTTCGTGGAAGACACAGAGTGGGGTGCGAGGCATAATGCACAGGGTGTCGGGAGACACGGCTCCTGTCCCAGCTCTGTCACACAGTCATGACATGATCTCTTTATCCCAGTTTTCCCAGCTGTACAACAAGGGGGCCAGGCCAACGTTCTTTCCAGCTCTGATCATCGAGGATTCCAATCCTTCTCAGTATGGCTGCTCAGGGTACAATCTAGGGAAGTCTGCCACCTAATGCCATTCCATCATCCACTGAAGAGAGCCGTGTGCAATGTGTCCTCCTAGTTATGCTCGAGAATTTGGCAAGGGGTGAAGCTAGTGGGTGAATGTGTTGGCAAGCCCTTTGGGGAACTTTCGGCTGACCAGCTAAACTCGTGTTTCTCAAACTCTGCTACTGAGATAACTGGCAAAGACATGAAAACACTAGCTGGGGCATAGAGGAAGGTGGCGTAGACAGAACCTAAAGCTATCTACGGGAAGCAGAGCATAATCCATTCAAATCTTTCAGTGAAATTATGCTCAGAAGGCGAACCAAATTCATTCATTGGTTCTGCACATTTTCTGGCCAACTTCTGTATTATTTTCAGATGAGGAGCAAAGACCGAGACCATCAGTTTCGCCACAACTGCAATTTTTGAAGTGAACCTCAGCTACTTCAGTGAATCGCTTTTGAAATGGACCATTACTCTCTTCCTGTAATGTGATTTTCTAGAACATCTCAGGTATGATACACCTAAGGAAATCTATGCTACCGTAGTTGGGATAGATAATTTTATTTATTTTCTTATTTTTTATTTTTTTAAAGATTTTATTTTTCAACAGAGAGAGAGAGAGAGACAGTGAGAGAGGGAACACAAGCAGGGGGAGTGGGAGAGG